CCTTCATCCAGCAGCTGGTGGAAGTAGAAGCAGATACCCACAGCTAAACCTTGAACTGAACTGAAATACAGTTGCAGAGAAGGAGGACTGATGATCAAAGGGGTCCTTACCAGGCTGGTGAAACCCACAGAAACAGCTGACCTGTAAACCTAAATGACTCCCTCTATTATGGTATCTCCATTCTTGTTACCTTCTAATCTTCCCCTGACTCAACCTTTCTGCTCCTCTGCATCCCTCCTCTTTTCCCCCTCTTATTCTCCTAACTCCTTCCCCCCTCTTCCCGTTCTCCCAATTTGCTCAGCACATCTTGACCCTTTTCCCTTCTCCAGGGGACCATGTATGTCTTTCTTAGGGTCCTCCTTGTTTTCTAGCTTCTCTGACAGTGTGAATTGTAGGCTGGTAATCATTTATTCTATGTCTACAATCCGCATATGAGTGAGTACATACCATGTTTCTCTTTTTGTGATTGGGTTACCTCACTCAGAATTGTTTCTTCTAGTGCCATCCATTTTCCTTCGAATTTCAAGATTCCATTGTTTTTCCCCACTGAGTTGTACTCCATTGTGTAAATATACCACATTTTCTCTATCCATTCTTCAGTTGAGGGACATCTAGGCTGCTTCCAGTTTCTGTCTATTACAAATAGTTCTGTTATGAACATCGTTGAACAGATGTCCTTGTTGTATGCATCATTGAACAGATGTCCTTGTTGTATGAATGTGCTTCTTTTGGGTACATTTCTAAGAGTGGAATTGCTGGATCTTTTGGTAGACTGATTCCCATTTTCTTGAGGAGTCACCATACTGATTTCCATAGTGACTGTACAAATTGGCACTCCCAACAACAGTGGAGGATTGTTCCCCTTTCTCCACATCCTGTCCAGCATGAACTGTCATTGCTGTTTTTGATTTTGGCCATTCTGACAGGAGTAAGATGGTATCTCAGAGTTGTTTTGATTTGCATTTCCCTGATGGCCAAAGATGTTGAGCACTTTCTTATGTGGCTTTCAGCCATTTTAGATGCCTCTATTGAGAATTGTCTATTTAGTTCTGTACCCCACTTTTTAATTGGATTGTTTGGTGTTTGGGGGACTAGCTTCTTGAGTTCTTTGTATATTTTGGAGATCAGCCCCCTGTCAGATGTGGGGTTGGTAAATATTCAAGTTACATCTTCAGCTCTGATGTTAAACTTTTGCGTAGCTTCTCAGCTTTCTAGTGACTGCATGAAGTTTATATTCTTGTAAATGTGGATGTGAAGTTCTAATATGCTGAATTATTACCAATACTTGTTTTGTCTGTTTTGTTTTGTTTTTACCAAGATCTGTAGAATTGACCTTTGATTGTACCTTTGGTTTAAATGTTCATAGTGACTAATTATCGTGAGCACTGTTCACTGAATATTAATATGTTTCTCTGTAGACATGTATATACAATCCAAGTCTCTTTTCATTAGCAGGTTGTCATTGTTGGGTGCTAAGACTTATCTGTATATTCTATGATCATGAAATATTTTCTTCTCCTCAGGGCTATACCAGTTACTTTTCTCACTGCTGTGACATAATATATGATAATAACAATGTAAAGAAAAGGAGGTTAATATTTGGCTCACAGACCAAGATAATGTGTGTCATGGGAATCAAAGGGGAAGAAGTGACAGGCAGCTGGCCTAACTGTGTCCACAGTCAGGAATGAGAGAAGATTTCAGTCTAGAAAGACAGCCCATGGAATAGTGCACCCTAGAGCCAGGCTATACCTTTCTTACTCTACTAAATTGATCTAGAAACTCCTGGACATCATGACCAGGAGGTTGACTCTCTGGTGATTACAGGCCAGCTCATGTTGATGATATTAACGCCAATAAATGGAAAATTTTAGCCATGCTGAGACTGCTCTATTTTCTATGGCTGCCTGTGTTTTCCATGTCACTGTACAGAAGTCATCACCACATGTGGGGCTATGAATTTTTGGCAGTGTAAATACTCTTATTTTTAAATCTTTTCTCTGTGTATTTGACCCACTTGGAGTAAGGGATATAGAGTATCTATAAGGGTCCAATATATCTTTTTAATGTCTACATTCTTCAATTAGGATAATAGTTATCCTAATTGAAGAAAGTATCATCCACCCCCCCCAACAGATGGTCTTAGGAAGTTCTTCAAAACCTTTATTTTTAAACCTTTATCTGAGCCCTTGTTTCTGGGCTCCCTTATATCATTTATATGATTATCTACCCTTATTTTCATTCTACACTGTTTTGATTATCAGGTTTCTAAAGAGTTTTGAAATTTGGATGTGGGAGTAATCAAGATTTCCTTGCATATTCAGAATCTAATGATATTCTATATGAATACTAATATTAAATTGTAACTAGGATGTGATAAGGACAGCACTGACACTACAGATGTCTATGGAAATTATTGATACCCTAATAGTGTAAGCTTTCTGAGCAGTCAAGAAAGGTTTTGCCTTTGGGTGATTATATCTCAATTTCTTTAAGTAGTGCTTTGTTATTTTCTTCAACAATGTTTTCAGCTGTATGGTTAATTCTTCAGTATTTACTTTTTGTATGGGGAGTGGATTTGCATGGGTGCACAACTGTATGCAGACACACAAAGATTTGTAACAGTGTTTAATGAGAAAATATATATATATGTATATATTATAATGGTTATATAAAGCATGCAGTATAGAAAATTTTGTTGAAATAGGAAGTTTATAATAATCACCTGATTATGTAAATAAAATATGGCTAGTATTCTCCTTATTTTTTTTCTTCAATTTTTGTGGTACTCAGGTTTTACCCAAAGGAATAACACATATTAAGCAAAAACCCACCACCAACAGCATTTCCTCAGTTTTCCTTATGTATTTTGCAAAATAACCCATGTTGGCCTTGACCTACTAAGTGCTTTCTTTATGAAACATGAACACATATAGCTTTTGATGATTATCCCATCCAGCAACCTTTAATCTGATGTTTAAACAACTTTCTGGCTTCCTTTACAGCTTCAGGGACGAAGTGATACCTCATTATCTCCATATTGCAAAAGCAAGGACAAAGAAATAGTAAAAAGGGCAAAATCTTGTGTTAGAATGGTGTTTGTGTTGTCTTAACCTCTCATGGGACATATCACTGCAACTAACACTGGCAAATGCCTGTTCTGCAGAAGTGTACACAGTCATCTCTGCCTGATGTCATAGGAGTTTGGACCATGGATTTGTTTTACTACTGTTCATTAATGCTACACTGATATGTGTAATATCATCATTCCCCTTAGACAGTGGGAAACTTATTTTTAAAAACTCACAGGATTCTACTGTCCTCCCACACAGTGTGGGGGACTATATCTATAATGAAAACTCATGTCATTGTCATTGAAATATTTTATGTTTCAGATGAATAATTTAAAATGACTTATAACTACAAATACTGCATCTACTCTTGTTGATTTACAGAAGAGAAAAAGCCAGCTCTCCAAGAGTTATGCGGCAATAGCATCTGTCCTTGATCCCTTTATTGTGGCAATAAAGTCCATTTTGGTGATATTATGTTCATTTAGCAGAGAAATTCCATGTTGGTAATCACATATGAAAGTCAACCACAACAGAATGATTTTCTCATCCCCAGATATAACTTTAGGTTAAACTCTTCTTTATTGTAAACTATCTTGAGATTTTTTACCCTCTTGAGAGAGGTGCTTCACTCCTCACAATATTCCCAGCTAGTTACATAAAAAGTAAAATAAGATATAGAAAGAGACTTCCACTACCTGCCATTCACTGTTTGAAGCCTTCTTCCTAACTAGTGTCACAATGACTGCTTGCTCTTTATTCCTTGACCTTCTCTCCTTACTCTACTTGGGCCCAACAAATATAGCCTGTATCAATTGATTTCCTAATAAAACAATCTTCATTACTCAAAAGCACTACTAATGCACAGTTATGGTGGGTATGAATTATATATGATATTAATAAAGCAAGGGAATATTTACAGTGCTATAAATAAGAAAGTTAGATTCAGACAGTAATGTGATTTTCAGAACCCCTCTGAGATTCTTTGCAATGAAAGACTCTTATTTCCTCAGTGTGTGTCTTCTTGGATCCCAATTTAATAACTATTGTTGGCAATATTTCTGTCTCATATGTTCTTTTTCTTTAATTACCAAGCCCTTAAAACATTCATATTATTCTATTTTTTGATTTTGTAAATGAACTCCAATTTCTACCAAAAAATAAAAAATAAAAACAAAAAATCCAAAATAAAGTAACCACTGCAAAACATGAGGCACATGTGTATCCCACAGATAAACAAAGTTTAAACATACTATTATGTTCATACTTTGTAAATAATAACAGTAAAATATGTAAAATATATGTGAATTAATAGCATGCTTGAATCTTGGAACCATTAGGTAAGTCTTCCCTTCTCATTAAGCTACTGATTGCCAAAAAATCATATCTGTCACATTGGCAGCTGAAAAAGATGTTAATAGGTTGCTTTCCACTGGAAGATGTATAGAAAACAACAGAATCAAATGTTTGAATTACACACTCAAAGATACTCAAAATGAGAAAACCACATAGAGTGGATAATGACATCCTAATGTAACTTCATTTGTCATTTTAAAAATCTATTTTAATTTATTAGAGGCAAAAGTAAGTTTGTAATGAATGGGCATAATAGGTAAGCCCTATTAGTGGCATTATTTTTAAATAAATAGAATAGAAAATGTTGGAAGTGACTAAAAAGAGAGTAAAGTATGAAAATATTAACATAAAATCTAGAAGATTCAAATTTCTTTTTATGATTGAAAGGGGATCAGATTAATTTTCATAATTAAGACAAGGGTTTCTGTCTGTACAAATCAAAAAAAGAACATAAAATAACAAAGTAGAATGTTTTCTACACAAGAAGAGGTAAAGTCTTCTGCTGAAATATTTTCCATTAATAGAAACTATCTCTGTGCCCAAAATAAGAGCCATAAAGACAACCCCATATAATCAAAGGTTCCTACTGTTCAGGCTTTTCATCAGAGCAACTTTAATATCTTTATTCCTCAAGCTGTAGATTAAGGGATTCAACATGGGAACCACATTGGTATAAAAGACAGAAGAGATTTTTCCTTCATTCATATACACAGCTGAAGAGGGTTTGAAATACACAAGAGCACCTGAACCAAAGAACAGAGAAACAGCAATGATGTGGGAGCTGCAGGTGCTGAAGGCTTTGGACCTGCCCTCAGAAGAACTGATGTGGAAGATGCTGGAAAGGATGAAGCCATATGAGACTAAGATAGTTGAAGTAGGAACGATGATATTGATGCTTGCAAAAACAAAAATTACAAGCTTGTTGACATACGTGCTAGTACAGGAGAGCTGGAGCAAAGGAGGAATGTCACAGAAGTAGTGGTTGATGATGTTAGTATCACAGAAGGTCAGTCTCAGCATGCATACAGTGTGAGCTACAGCATTAGAAAATCCAATAAAATAGGAACCAAACATAAGGTTTAAGCATAAATTAGGAGACATGACAACATTATACAACAGTGGATTATATATGGCCATGTAGCGATCATAGGCCATTGAAGTCAACACATAACACTCAGAAACAACAAAGAAGCAAAAGAAAAAGACTTGGGCCATACATTCCATGTAAGAAATGATGTTCTCCCTTAATATAAAGTTCATCAGCATTTGGGGAGTGAACACAGAGCAATAGCAGATGTCTATAAAAGACAAGTTAAAGAGAAAAAAGTACATAGGAGTGTGGAGGTTAGAATTTAGCACAGTTAGAATGATCAAACACAAATTTCCCAATGCAGTGATCAGATACACTGCTAGAAACAGAAAGAACAAGGGCATTTGGAGTTCAGGCTGGTCTGTTAATCCTACGAGAAAGAATTCAGTCACCAAGGAGATATTTACAAAGTCCATTCTTCTCTAAGAAAATCTGTGGACACAGAAAATAGAGCTGCATTAGACGATGATCCACACTAGTCTTGAGTACTTTCCATTCATGATGTTGGGAATATTTTTGGTAGCCTCTACTTATTGTGTAGAATCAGCTAGTGCATCCACAAACTATGTTATATAAGAAGGCAATTGATATTGAATTTCATTGTGATTTCTGAAAAATATCACAAGATAAAGAATGCACTAAGAAGGATTCAAACTTCTCCCATCTCCTGGTTTCCTTCTCTAGAGCTCTCCCTACAACAATAAAATTAGAAGTAGATATCTGAAAAGTACAGTGCTGGTTGCTGCTGTAGATTCACCTTTGCTTTGATATGAATGAGAAACATGTGCCTGATCTGAACTAAAAGAAAGAGAAGGGCACTGAGAGAATGTTTCTTGTCCCCATGTCACAGTGTCATGAATCTGAAAGGTTTGAGTTCCAACCATGCAGAAGAACTCCATTGATGATGCTGCAACTCCAGTGGCCAACACCTCCTAACACACTCTGATCTCTCTGAATGTTATCTAATTCTGCATTTACTTGAACCTTATTTTGCCCAGGAAAAGGAAGAAATTGCTGAAGCACATCATATATTGATATATTGAGGAACATAAAGGGTGTGGATGCAAATGCAGAGGGAATGCCAAAGATCTCAGAGGAACGTGGGGGACAGTAAACTGTAATGAGAATATATTATGTGAAAAATGTCTTCAATAAAATAAAAATAAGTGAATATTCATCAAAAAGAAACAAAGACAGAGGAAAGAAGGAGAGCTATTAGTATACCTGGAATTCAGACCTCATACTTGTCAGTCTAAACCTTAGCGCAATCTTATCTTCCTACTTACCTGTTTATCTCTTTAAATATTACAGATTAAAATGTGTCAGATCTTTCAATTTATAGAAGATATACACAACACTTAATTTTCATGGACCAATTTATGAACTGCAGAACATTATTTGTTATTAAGACTTTTGAGTCTTTTCTGGAGGTAGAGAAAATCCCTTTAAATGTAGGATGTGTGTGATCATAAGCAGAGCAGTAGAATGTCCACACTCTTCCTCTGAGGAAAGGGTTTATATTGAAGAAGGAACTGAGGAAATTGTATTACACCCTGGATCAAGATTCTAATTTCCTGAGAGACCCACAATTATACTCACCCTTTCCATTCACTCTAGAGAATGTATAAGCCCCAGTGTAGATTGAGAGATAGACTGTTGCCTCCCCAATTATCTTTAGATCTGAAGGGAAATCTGAATTCGGGGTTCTTCCTCTCCTGCTTCCTGCAGTTAAGTGAGAATTGCCCACAGGTCCTGACTAAATTCTATGTTTGGAAGTCATAGAATGTTGTATTGAGTCATCTGCAGTTCTGAACTTTCAGAAATATCACAGATGCTATTTAAAAATACATTCCCAAACAAAGGTGACACCAGGAGACATGCTAACATAGAAGGTAGAAAACCCAAGTGGCCTCAACCCCTGACAAAGAACTGAAGATAATTAAAGACTACTGGGCTGATCTCCAAAATATACAAAGAACTCAAGAAGCTAGTCCCCCAAACACCAAACAATCCAATTAAAAAGTAGGGTACAGAACTAAATAGACAATTCTCAAAAGAGGAATCCAAAATGGCTGAAAGACACATGAGAAAGTGTTCAACATGCTTAGTCATCAGGTAAATGCAAATCAAAACAACTTTGAGATACCATCTTACTCCTGTCAGAATGGCTAAAATCAAAAATACCAATGACAGTTTATGCTGGAGAGGATGCGGAGAAAGAGGAACACTGCTGGTGGGACTGACAACTTGTACAGCCACTGTGGAAATCAGCATGGCGACTCCTCAAGACAATGGGAATCAGTTTACCACAATATCCAGCAATTCCACTCCTAGACATATACCCAAAAGAAGCACATTCATATAACAAGGACATATGTTCAACCATGTTCATAGCAGCATTATTTGTAATAGCCAGAAACTGGAAGCAGCCTAGATGCCCCTCAACCAAAGAATGGATAGAGGAAATGTGGTATATTTACACAATGGAGTACTAGTCAGCAGAAAAAACAATGGCATCTTGAAATTTGCAGGAAAATGGATGGAACTAGAAGAAACCATTCTGAGCAAGGTAACCCAATCACAAAAAGACAAACATGATATGTACTCACTCATATGTGGACCTGCTTTATGATACATAGTAGTGACCATTCATTATCAGAGCTGTTTTTAATGATATTGCTCAAAATGGTTTCCTCCCAGATGATGACTGAGAGCTAATTAAAAAAAAAATGGTGCCAAGTACCACAAGAGTAATAGAACTGCGCCGTTTTCTGGAATTTTGTTTTTTACTTTGTTTGTTTGTTTGTTTGTTTTTTTGTTTTTGTTCTTTTTGTTTTCTGTTTTTTTTTTAAATGGAGTGTGTCTCTACAATTTTGTTCAAATGACTGCAGAACCTGGAAAAGCTGTTGCTGCTATTGATGCTCTCTGAAGTCTTGAGGTCTACTGAGAGCATGATAAATATGGTTGATAACAATATGCTATATTTTAAAAGTTGTGAGATAGAATACTTCAAGTGTCCTCAAAACAAAAATGATGAATATGTGTGATATAATATGTTAATTGGTTTAATTTAGCCATGCCATTGTGAACATACTGTATTTTGTATCATAATTGTGCATGACTTTATTTATGAGCTAAATAAATGAATGGAAAAAAAAGAATATTGGAAGTTCTACAATTGGTCTTATTTAGCCAGGAAAAACACTGTAGGTGGTTAATGAAAAAAAAAATAATGCAGTGGTCAGTCATGATCTCATAAAAGCAAGTAAGTAATTACAGGCACTGAGAGGTTGTATTTACATATTTAGTAATATATATGAATAATATATAAAACAATTAAGGAAATAGAAACCCTGAACTTTAGAGAAAACAAGGAGGTGTGCATGGGAAGGGTTACATGCCAGAAAGGAAAATGAAAAAAATATGTTATTGTATTTTAAGTTTTAAAATAAAAATAAATAGTAACTCTAAAAAGCTTTAATAAAAAGAAAAAATACAGTATAAATGAATCGTTTCATGTTTACTTTCCTTATTCCAAGCATTCCTCTGTTCACCAACTAACTTCTCTCCAAATTAATTAAATTAGTGACCTCTTTTTTTATTTTTATTGATACATGTTGCAAAAATGTGTAAATCAGTCTGGTCTCAGTAAGACTAACACCATTTTTCCTCCTGGTTGTTAATAGATTTTATGCAAATGCATGAAATTTCAAATGTAAATATTATATTAATGTACGAGAACAAAGATGCCTAATAAACACTGGGGTGTAGATATGAAAAATGAAATGTGAACAGGTTTGGTGGAAATACGATCAATGAGTTCGTTTTTTTATGAAAATATTCTTATGTTACATTACTAAATGTTACATTACATTAATAAATGGTTACATTATTACCATTTAAAATAAATATACACAATGCCAATTTTGAAGATTAATAATCTGATCCCAAGTTATATATTAAACAGCATTACACTTAATATTCATATATAAAATTTCAACAACTTTTATCTAATATAATATATCTAAGGTATTAAAAAATAAACCTTTCAACATTTGAAAAATAACAGAATTTCAAAATGTCTGTGTGTTCTACCAGGGAGTCTGGTAGACAAACATTTTATATTTGGAAACAAATACGAACAGAATGTATTAGAGGTTTACCCATCTCACATACAATAAAAAGTACGTTAATCAGGATATACAAGTGCTTGTATGTTCTAAGCTGAAGGACATTTTTGTCTCTACAGAATTAATAAAGCCATGACAGTTAAACTTGGCCTTTCCACTGAGAGGTAAATAATACAAAATTAATGATGACACTGGTTGACAGGTGGCTTGTCTATTTTATGAATCATTCCAGACTTCTTCAAGAAACTTTTATGTTTTCATTTATATTTTGAATAAAGCTTGCTCCCTGGTTATTGGCTGGACTGCTTGGCCAGTCCAACTGAGACTGAATTGAAATTAAGAGAGAATATGAAACATATGTTGGACTTCATTCATTATAAAGAGTATCTAAATTGCTTCAATTGTCGTACACATTTGGATGAAGCATTTTAAATAAAAACATATCTATTTGTGGATTATTGAGATATTCTTGGAAAATTGTATTACCACTTTAAAAGTAGTAACTTCAAAAGGTGTCCTTTCTTGTGCAATTATAACTGCATCCCAGTGAATGCTGCTGTGGTTAGAACGTACACCATTAGCCACCAAATGTTTGTCCTCTGTACTCACTTGTCCTGCACGAGACTCTTCTAGGGTTGCAAACTTTATAGATGTTCCAGGCAGAAAAATTAATAGTTTCAGCCAAATTGATCAGCTGCATTTGAAATGTGTTTGCTCCTTTTAAAGACTTATGAATCTTAATAGCTAATGAAGGTCCCTTACTAGTTTTACTGTGTAAAAGAGAATTAATTTGACCAAATCAAGACACCACCATCTTAAACTTGAAATCATAGAAGACTAAGAATTATTTGGGTTAACTGCAGTCCCAGACATTTTGTTCAATATAGATAAACAGAAACATTTATTGGTAACCAGATACAGAAACATATACACAGATAAATAGATATGAAGTTATATTATATCAGTTTATTAACATCTGGTAACTATCAAACTTAACATTGACTTTCTCTATATAGTCAATGTACACATCCTTTCCAGTATAGATAAGCCAATACCTGCACCTTTTAGGACTTTCTAGTATTTGTGGGTTTCCTACCCTATATAAGAAAGGTCAGGCGGATCTTCAGCATGCTCAGTCAGCGACTCCCACCATTCTCAATGAGGACATGTCTACCCTATTAAAAAGTAAAAAAGATATAAGATCTTCCTTGGTTTCATTGTTTTCTACAGTATCTTGAGAAACTATGGTACATTAGAGCATTGGTTTTTTTTGTTGTTGTTTGCTT